AGCGGTGATGAGTGCGGGCACAATGAATACCCAATTACTGAACCCATGCTCTATAGGTCCGCCCGACTCGGGATTACCGGATAAGTCGACCATTGCTTCACTTCACTCACCACTCAGACCATCGACTCATCCACTGATGGACTCAAATGATAATACGATTACAATTAGCAGCTCTTCAGCGAACCTCACAGTCTAGTGATGTGTTTGACACTAACCCTCTCTATTCACACCACTTCTCCCACACCTTCACAACCAATTGATTCTCGCATTCATTTCATTTGTATCTCATTTTCTAACGTTTATATGAAACCAATAAATTGAGTTAATCTCATCAATGCTATTATTTGCATCAAATGCTAATTATATCACATTTATATTCATATGTTTGAATATCGAGACTAAACTGTACAGAGTTTGAGTATTTCCCAAACTCTATGAACACATCATTCAACTATTTACTGCTTAATTCATAAATCATTAGATGCAATCAAATAATCATAATTTCATGTAAAACATTATGGCAAATAATTAGTGCATATATTTCATAATTATTTTATGTTCAATGTTCAATATTCTTGTTAAAATTTAGAAATAAAAATAAATATGTAGCATGCACATTTTGTAATTTCTAAATATTAATGTATTGCAAAGGCAGTTCATAATATAAAGTATATGGCTAATATTGTATCATTGTTCTTGATAACTTAAATGAAGTTTTGTTGTAAATTGATATGTAAATCATGAATTAAGGCATCAATTATATGGATATTAATCTTAACGATAAAGAGATTGGCATTAATTTTGATGAGCAAATAGAGTGGAGTGGTGTCGACAGTGCTATCTATGGGTGAGTGTGAGTACTGCTAACGTAATTGATGCCCGGTTTGTATGAATAGGACTTCCTTTTCCGTTATGAGTGACTCTAAACGTGTTTAACATATAGTTTGGGATCACTTTGAAATCAGTTTAATAGATAATTAATTGGTGTCCAAGTGTCTGATCCGCGAGAATGGCTGTCGGAAAGAACAAGGGTTTGGCGAAAGGAGGCAAAAAGGGCGTGAAGAAGAAGATCGTGGATCCGTTCACTCGTAAGGAGTGGTATGACGTGAAGAGTCCGTCGATGTTTTCGGTGCGAAATGTGGGCAAAACTCTGGTGAACAAGACTCAGGGCACGAGAATCGCTTCCGAGGGACTCAAGGGTCGCGTCTTCGAGTGCTCGTTGGCTGACCTCCAGAACGATGAGATCGCGTACAAGAAGTTCCGACTCATCGCAGAGGAAGTCCAGGGGAGGATCGTATTGACCAACTTTCATGGCATGGATTTGACAACTGATAAGTTGCGCTCAATGGTCAAGAAGTGGCAGACCCTCATTGAGGCTAATGTGGACGTCCGCACCACCGATGGCTATCTGTTGCGCTTGTTTTGCATCGGATTCACCAGAAAATGGCAAAACCAGGTGAAGAAGACCTCGTACGCACAGCACACGCAAGTGAGACAAATCCGCAAACGTATGACTGACACCATTCAGCGTGAAGTCTCCTCCAGCGACCTCAAGGAAGTGGTCAACAAATTGATCCCCGACTCGATCGCTAAAGACATCGAGAAGTCGTGTCAATCGATATACCCTTTGCATGACGTGATGATCAGGAAAGTGAAGGTTTTGAAGAAACCTAAGTTTGATTTGGGAAAACTGCTCGAAATCCACGGCGAGACCACTAAAGGCACTGCCGCTCCCGTGGCCCCCGGAGAGGAGCCCATGAAAGTGGACAGACCTGAGGGATACGAACCACCCGTTCAGGAGAGTGTCTGAACACCGCTTGTAATCAACTCTTATAATGAAATCTAATAAATGTTTTTGAATTAATTGTCTTTTCATTTATTTAATTGAATTACACTCCAAGTGTTTACCCCTTTTACCGGTCTTAGTCTTATTATTGCCACAAATTCATGTTTAATTAATTTGAGTGTAAAGTTGTATAATACATGAGATTATAGGGGTATAGAGAGAAGTCGCACCAAACGTATGTTTAGTGCCATTGTAAACAATTAAACCTTAATCCTAATAACATTTACCCCGATCATAGTACGGTAATACTGTATCACTTTCTGGTTGAATAGCCTTNCAAGACTCAGGGCACGAGAATCGCTTCCGAGGGACTCAAGGGTCGCGTCTTCGAGTGCTCGTTGGCTGACCTCCAGAACGATGAGATCGCGTACAAGAAGTTCCGACTCATCGCAGAGGAAGTCCAGGGGAGGATCGTATTGACCAACTTTCATGGCATGGATTTGACAACTGATAAGTTGCGCTCAATGGTCAAGAAGTGGCAGACCCTCATTGAGGCTAATGTGGACGTCCGCACCACCGATGGCTATCTGTTGCGCTTGTTTTGCATCGGATTCACCAGAAAATGGCAAAACCAGGTGAAGAAGACCTCGTACGCACAGCACACGCAAGTGAGACAAATCCGCAAACGTATGACTGACACCATTCAGCGTGAAGTCTCCTCCAGCGACCTCAAGGAAGTGGTCAACAAATTGATCCCCGACTCGATCGCTAAAGACATCGAGAAGTCGTGTCAATCGATATACCCTTTGCATGACGTGATGATCAGGAAAGTGAAGGTTTTGAAGAAACCTAAGTTTGATTTGGGAAAACTGCTCGAAATCCACGGCGAGACCACTAAAGGCACCGCCGCTCCCGTGGCCCCCGGAGAGGAACCCATGAAAGTGGACAGACCTGAGGGATACGAACCACCCGTTCAGGAGAGTGTCTGAACACCGCTTGTAATCAACTCTTATAATGAAATCTAATAAATGTTTTTGAATTAATTGTCTTTTCATTTATTTAATTGAATTACACTTCAAGTCTTTATCCCTTTACCGGTCTTAGTCTTATTATTGCCACAAATTCATGTTTAATTCATTTGAGTGTAAAGTTGTATAATACATGAGATTATAGGGGTATAGAGAGGTGTGTTTAGTGTGATTGTAAACAATTAGATCTTAATCCTAATAACATTTACCCTATGATTGTACGGTAATATCACTTTCTGGTTGAATAGCCTTTTAATCACATTTTCCACGATTTGAGACCTGTTTATAGGGTTATTCATAAGTGATGTATAGATTTGTAGTGAAATGTGTGACCCCTTAGTGCAGAATCTCATAGAAAAGGGATTTTATAATAATTACATTCATTGTTAGAATTATAGCAAAAGGTGTGAAAAACAGACGATTCGTTCATTGCATTGATTACCGGTTCTTAGGATTGCATTCATTTAGACATCTATTTCAGTGATAATTGGCTGCCATTGGGATGTCGTTTAGGTCTAAATCAAAGCCCTACTCATCGGCCAGAGGTATGTCTTGAGGCAAATGGTGTCCATTGACTGAAATATGTGCCAAAACAGGTCAACAGTCGTCCTCTTCAGACAAATCCTTTCAAATCAGTAGAACTCGATTTGTGTCGATATCTGAGTTCAGGGGTCAGACCCGAGTGGATGTGCGCGAGTTCTACACCGATGACAATGGCGACCAAAAGCCCGGGAAGAAGGGCATCAGTCTGTCGATGGATGAGTGGAACAAATTGGTGTCGCTTTTGCCCAAAATAGACAAAGCCATCAAAAAAGTGGACGATTCTGACGATGAGTCGCAAGACTCTGTCGATCGCACCAAACGCTCCAAGAAGTCGAAGGCATCTGATTCTGATTCAGATGATGAGTCCAGTCGTCGCAAGAAGTCAAAGCCACAGAAAAGCAAGAAATCCGAGTCCGACGACGATTCGGATGATGGCATCAAGAAGTCGAAGACATCTAAGAAATCTGATTCCGACGACGACTCGGATGACGGCCACAAGAAATCAAAGAAGTCGAAGAAGGCGTTGTCTGATTCAGACTCCGATTGATTAATGTATTACTCATTCCGGGATTTATTTGATTTTTATCATTTAATGAAGTTTTGTATCATTTCTAGGATTCAATCACTTCTCCACACATCTCCTCATTATTTGTGGACAAAAGCAGTATTTTATTATTTGTTTCATTAATTTCTATTTGATTTTTAATTCAATTCTTAAACAAATATCAGACGACTATCATCTAAATAGCTGTCAAATGCATTTATTATTTCATTCACTAATCCTGTAGTTCTTAATACAATTGTCATTTATAACAAATATGGGATCAAATAAACAAAAATTTTAATCAAATCAAAATCATTTTTATTTTAATGATTTCATAAATATAGGATTAATTGAAATTTGATATATGAATGAATTACATACAGTATAC